GCCGTCGATCTTAGAATCACCTGCACACTTCACTCATTTGGGCAGTCACGGGGCACGACGAAGAAGAAGAAGAAGAAGAAGAAGAATGAAAAGAAGAATGAAAAGAAGAAGAAGAATGAAAAGAAGAAGAAGAAGAATGAAAAGAAGAATGAAAAGAAGAAGAAGAAGAATGAAAAGAAGAAGAAGAAGAATGAAAAGAAGAATGAGAAGAAGAATGAAAAGAAGAATGAAAAGAAGAATGAGAAGAATGAAAAGAAGAATGAAAAGAAGAAGAAAAGAATGAAAAGAAGAATGAAAAGAAGAAGAAGAAGAATGAAAAGAAGAATGAAAAGAAGAAGAAGAATGAAAAGAAGAAGAATGAAAAGAAGAAGAAGAAGAATGAAAAGAAGAATGAAAAGAAGAAGAAGGAGAATGAAAAAGAAGAAGAGGAAGAATGAAAAGAAGAAGAAGAAGAATGAAAAGAAGAATGAAAAGAAGAAGAAGAAGAATGAAAAGAAGAAGAAGAAGAATGAAAAGAAGAATGAGAAGAAGAATGAAAAGAAGAATGAAAAGAAGAATGAAAAGAAGAAGAAGAATGAAAAGAAGAAGAAGAATGAAAAGAAGAATGAAAAGAAGAAGAAGAAGAATGAAAAGAAGAAGAAGAAGAATGAAAAGAAGAAGAAGAAGAATGAAAAGAAGAAGAAGAAGAATGAAAAGAAGAAGAAAAGAAGAAGAAGAAAGAATGAAAAGAAGAAGAAAAGAAGAATGAAAAGAAGAATGAAAAGAAGAATGAGAAGAATGAAAAGAAGAAGAAAAGAAGAAGAAGAAGAATGAAAAGAAGAAGAAGAATGAAAAGAAGAATGAAAAGAAGAAGAAGAAGAATGAAAAGAAGAAGAATGAAAAGAAGAAGAAGAAGAATGAAAAGAAGAAGAAGAATGAAAAGAAGAATGAAAAGAAGAAGAAGAAGAATGAAAAGAAGAATGAAAAGAAGAAGAAGAAGAATGAAAAGAAGAAGAAGAAGAATGAAAAGAAGAAGAAGAATGAAAAGAAGAAGAAGAATGAAAAGAAGAAGAATTCCAGTACAGCAAAAAGTGTATCTGCAGAGAGCTCCGCTATTTCTGACAGTTCTCTGACAGTTCCTTCACATTTACAGCGGTTGAAACATTGTATCTATTTGTTTCCGAATAAAAACATCTGTATCCTAAATGGAAACAAATAGATACAATGTTTCAACTGCTGTAAATGTGAAGGAACTGTCAGAGAACTGTCAGAAATAGCGGAGCTCTCTGCAGTGACACTTTTTGCCGGCTGATCGGGGAAAATTCGATTCGTGCATCCGAAGTTTGCTAAAATTCGGATTCGGTGCGAATCGAATTTTTCCTAATATTCGAAACGAATTCCACTTCGCCAAGTTCGATTCGCTCATCTCTAGAGGGAACCATGAATGCCAAAATGTACTGTGACATACTGAAGCAGAGTATGATCCACTGCCTTCGGAGACTGGGCCACAGGGCAGTATTCCAACATGATAACGACCCCAAACACACCTCCAAGACGACCACTGCCTTGCTAAAGAAGCTGAGGGTAAAGGTGATGGACTGGTCAAGAATGTCTCTAGACCTAAACCCTATTGAACATCTGTGGGGCATCCTTAAACAGAAGATGTAGGAGTGCAAGGTCTCTAACATCCACCAGCTCCATGATGGCGTCATGGAGGAGTGGAAGAGGACTCCAGTGGCAACCTGTGAAGCTCTGGGGAACTCCATGCCCAAGAGGGTTAATGCAGTGCTGGAAAACCATGGTGGCCACAGAAAATATTGACACTTTGGGCCCAATTTGGACATTTTCACTTAGGGGGGCTGTACTCACTTTTGTTGCCAGAAGTTTAGACATTAATGGTTGAGTTATTTTGAGAGGACAGCAAATTTACACTGTTATACAAGCTGTACACTCACTACGTCACATTGTAGCAAAGTGTCATTTCTTCAGTGTTGTCACAAAGATAGAATCAAGTATTTACAAAAATGTGAGGGGTGTACTCACTTCTGGGAGATACTGTAAATCGTGGATGATGTGTAATGCCAATACTATGTGCAATGGACATTTCTTTTAGTGTTTGATTTTAATTACTCTAATAACATATTGGATATTTTTATACATACGATTATTCATTGTGGTACCAGTAAAGCCCTAACCGGTTTGTTTGGAGGGATTCTACTATAATGTTTAACAGATGTGGTACCTATAGAAAAAAATATGCAAGGTATTTTTTTCTTTTTCTTGTCTGAGTTAGCATTGTCACCTTAGAACAGAAACTATATTACTAGTTGGATCTCCAGGTGAAAATTAACCACTTGAATACTGGACCTTTTCACCCCCTTCCTGCCCCGGCACTGTCACACTTTGAATGAAAATTGCACGGTCATGCAACGCTGTACACATATAAAATTGTTAGCATTTTTTTAGACAGAGAATTCTTTTGGTGTTATTTAATCACCACTGGGGTTTTTATTTTTTGCTAAACAAACAAAAAAAAGACGGAAAATTTTGGAAAAAAAAATTGTTCTTAATTTTTGTTAAAAATGTTTGCAAATAAGTAATTTTTCTTCTTCATTGATGAGGCGGCACTAATGATGTGTCACTGATGTGCACTAATGCGGAGGCATTAATGGGCGACACTTATATGCACTGATAAGCTGGACTGATGGGCACTGATGTGCCATGATTATCAATGCAAATGTGCCTGTCAGAATTGCCGGTTACTGTCTCTCCTTTCCTCTCACTGTGACAGCGCGTGAGGAAAGGACTGCCAATAACCAACAAGTCTGTATACAATTTAATCCACTGTACTTGGACACAGCTGACCACATTATAAAGGGCCACTATGATTGGCCCTTTACCTTGATCTGTGACCACAGAGTGAGCACGGTGCACGTCCTGGAGGTGCACAGGGGCACCGGGTTCTGGGAGGACGTCAATGGATGCCCTCCCAGAACTAGCCGACTGTGCTGTAGCTGTCATTTGGCTATAGCGCGGTCAGCAACGGGTTAAGGAAAAATATTTGAAAATATATATAAATTGAAAATTAATGTAGCTACTACCCATATGGAAGAAAAATATATTTGAAATATATTTTAAGAATATTCTTCCCAAATATTTTGCCATATATGTAAAATGCTACAATTTTGGCCATATTCAATATATATTTTTAATATATATATATATATATATATATATATATATATATATAGTGGGAACTCACATCAAATGGTAGAGCTTTTTTTAAAGCACACAGCAACTCGCTTCTTTTTAAGGGCCTTTTTGCCGAATTTTATTTAAAAGAAAGTTCCATAACATAAGTTTCCCATGCAGGGGCGTTCACCATCAAAACAAATGAAACCATTCAGCCTCCTCGCTCTCTTTATCAGCCGTGCTGGTTAGCAGTACCTCTATTTATGTGGGTCTCCCAGACCCCTGGTTAGTCCCAGCACACAGCATTGGACTCCTTCCAAAATATAGCTTTTTTCACACAGCTAGCAGCCCTTGCTGCTCTGGCTCCCACCTCTCCTAGGTGGAGCCCTCCTGACTCCAGGGCAATGACCTCCTGTCTGCCGGGGTGGAGCCCAGAACCCTGGTCCTGACTCTAGAAGAGAGCCATGCACACCTGACCAATCAGTCTCCTGCCCATTCCCAAAACCTGGTCCCAGGATTGGAGAGTTCATCCCTCCCAAATCACTTTGAACTCTCCAGGCTCCAGGTCCCAAAATGGACTTTACAAAGACATGAGGAAAGTGAAAAGCCACTTTCCTCTGCATCAAACAAGTAACCTGGAGCCCCTCAACCTGCCTCGTTGAGGATCCTGGGTGAAATATCCTTTTCATATGGTGACAGATCGCCACGCTGTCACAAGTTTTTATATATAATATATTTTTTATATATATATATATATATATATATATATATATATATATAGACATACTGCATGTTTAAATGTGTTTGTATTACAAAACAAATGAAAATAAAATCTGAAGAATATATTTAAAAAAAAAATATATATTCTTCAGATTTTTTTTAACATATAAAAAAGTCATTTTAAGATATATTTGTAAATGCATTCCAAAAATGTAGATTTGTATTACTAAAGACACAGTATATTTGAAATGTATTTTAAAACATATTTTTCATATATTTTGTAATAAAAATGCATTTCAACATGCAGTATATATATAATACTATATTTTATATATATATATATATATAAAACTATATAGTGTTGAATGTGGCCAAAATTGTAGCATTTCAAATATATGGCAATATATTTGAGAAGAGTATTTTTAAAATATACTTCAAATATATTTTTCTTACTGTGGGTACATCTAAGGACTGGTAAGCTGTAATATATTAGATTTTAGTTTTTAAGTATAGATACCCTTTAAGTACAAGTAGATGATGACATATACAGTGCAGTATATAAAACTAGGACGGTACATATTCCCTTTAGGAAATGAGGAAGCAGAGGCATTTTATGGTGTTATTGAATCATTTTATGCCGAGGATGAAGGCGGGGAGAGTCTTTGTAATTGTAATAAAAAAGGTTTCTACGAGAAGGTTCTCTTAGGGTCTGTTCCACTAAATATGACCGGACATTTCCCATTCGCTGCAGTAAACTCTATAACTGAACATGATAAATCTGTAGGCACTATGGCCACAAATATACGTGCCTCTTCCACCTGTAATTTTTCTCTAGACATATTACTGTCCTCCCCTCCCCCCTCTACGCGGATGCACCATCCCTCTTCCCTTTATTTTCAGTGATGATGGATGACACTAGGTAGCTTCATCTATCCACTGAGCAGGCTCATTTAGACAGAGGTACACTTTTGGGTACAGCCTGGCTATTCCTCGCAAGATCCCTCTGGGTTGGCCAAATGGATGCGTTTGATTAAACTTTTTCTCTTTTTTGTTGTAGAATCAATATTTTCATTATTACCACTTTCACTGTCCTTATAAAAACTCATGTCTGCTACACGTTATGGGGTTATGGGATATATTAAAGTGTCACTAAACCCAGGACCCTGCATTCACTATAGCTGGTCTCCCCGGACCCTGCATTCACTATATCTGGTCTCCCCGGACCCTGCATTCACTATATCCTGGTCTCCCCGGACCCTGCATTCACTATATCTGGTCTCCCCGGACCGTGCATTCACTATACCTGGTCTCCCCGGACCCTGCATTCACTATACCTGGTCTCCCCGGACCCTGCATTCCCTATACCTGGTCTCCCAGGACCCTGCATTCACTATATCTGGTCTCCCCGGACCCTGCATTCACTATATCTGGTCTCCCCGGACCCTGCATTCACTATATCTGGTCTCTAACCCCGGACCCTGCATTCACTATATCTGGTCTCCCCGGACCCTGCATTCCTATACCTGGTCTCCCCGGACCCTGCATTCACTATATCTGGTCTCCCAGGACCCTGCATTCACTATACCTGGTCTCCCAGGACCCTGCATTCACTATATCCTGGTCTCCCCGGACCCTGCATTCACTATACCTGGTCTCCCCGGACCCTGCATTCACTATATCTGGTCTCCCCGGACCCTGCATTCACTATATCTGGTCTCCTAGAGTCCACAGAACATGGAAATTCAATTATTTTAGTAAATATAAACTGCTAAATACATTTTCTCATCAGCAGTTAGAGCAGTCTTGTGACTTCTATCAGTGTCCAGCTGAGCACTGGTTAACACTTGTAAGAGGAGTTTTCTCTAAGAGAATGCAGAACCCCTGACCTCTGTCTGGGCAGTGCTGATCGGCCCTGTGCTGATCACATGCACTCTCCCAAGAAAAAACAAACCTCTCTAGCAATACATACCAAACTGAGCATGTGCAGTGTCTCCACACAATATGTCTTATCAGGAGATAAGAGGGGGACACTGGAAGGAGGGGAGGATCAGAGAAAACAGGATCAAACAGAGTATTTACACAATGCAGAGGATTAACCCCTTAAGTTCCACAGTGAGTATAACAAGCATGCTTTACTGCATATACAGACCGATTTTACTGTTGTGGGTTTAGTAACACTTTAAGGGCTCATTCACACCAGTGAGTAAACATTAAAGGTGCGCATAATATGCATGCACTGGTCTGCACTGTGCACAATGCAGTGATGCTTTAAAAAAAAAAAACTTTATTTAACTAGACACTTCATTTGATTATGTCGGTGTGTTACAATGCACTATATTCAGTTTTTTTTTTTCACTGCAGGTACACAAAAATACCCGTGGATGTGTCAGGGTGTCAATATGCTTCTAACTTCCCCTTTGGGCTGGCAGCACAGTGCATTTTCTGCTGTGAAATCCCAACCAGTGTTGTCAGCCTTGCTAACTGGATTACAGAAATATGCCTTTTCTCTTTCTTCTCTGTCTCTCTCTACATACAAACATTGATTTATTGCCCAACAAAACATTGTTGCTGCCTTGACTCCCAAGAGCCTGTCCATACAATAACGTATATAGGAAAGGGTATCTTAGGAAATGTAGTTCAGGGCGTGTGACCTCCTAGCAGCTGCCCTTGCATATATTTTACAAGCATGGTGATCATTTCCATGGTGTCATAAAAACTTTCTGACCACAGGAACAAGGTAAAATAAAAAAAATAATATTGGGATGTGCTTGTAGGTGGGTGTGGGCCCCTAATGCATACAAAGAGCAGAGCTTCTACTGTTTGGGGGGTGATGCAGCAATCTGATGATCTGAGTCATTTCCTTGTCTAGTAGTTGTCTGACCACCATTTGCTACTAGGGCTAGAGGATGCCTGGAAGAGGACTGCTATGTCCTCTGTCATGGACTCCAGGTGACCATCTTGGGGATGCCAGTGCCTATGATAGATGTCAAAGTCCAACGAGATCTGGGCCACCATCTTGGACATGGAGGAGCTAAAAACAGCACCCTCTGCATCAAATTGGCATACCGCATTATGGGGAGTGGATATAGAAGCAGAATAGGGAAAGCCTACAGATAAGAACAGGTTCCTGTGGAGGAAGGAAAGTGCAGGTGAGAGGTTTCTTAGGGAGCACAGCATGAAAGGAAGAAGTTGCAGACTCCACAGCCAGTATTTTGGAACACTGGGGAATACTCTGCAAAGTGGCTGGGTTAGGACAGTGCCCACTGCTGGGATAACTTTACCCCAGGAACTTCCCCTTGGAACAATGCTTAACCACTTCCAGGAATCATCTGGCATTAGCAAGAAATGCTGGGGGGGGGGGGGGGGGGGGGGGGTTGAAAAGTGATTACTCAGCAAAATAAAGCATGGAGATGAATGGGGGGAGTTTGTTTTGAATATTAAGAATTAAATTGCGATTTCAGTTTGCGGTGCTCAGGCACAGTTTAGTTCTGCTGTAAATCTGAGCAATGCTTGGAGTTAAAGGGGAACTTCACTCTCCCAATCAATATTGACTATTTTTAATCCTTATGCTGCTAACGTTAGTAAATAGATAGGAACAGGAAAGAATAGGAAGGTATATCATATTTACTTGTTTTAAACCTTTTTTTTTCTTCAGGTACTTCCTAGTTTACATGCCTAGGCCAATGATGTCATACATCCCAGCAATCTTCAGGATTGGAGGGAAGGTTCTCAGCTCAGCTTATGCCCGAGTTTAGGGCAGATGATTCATTTATTATTTACTTCTTGGAATCCATCTGCCCTTACCCCCTTACCCAAGATGGCCACTGCAAGAAATGTCAGGGGATTCCAGGAAGTAGATGATACATGAATCATCTGCCCTTACCCAAGATGGCCACTGCAAGAAATGTCAGGGGATTCCAGGAAGCAAATAATACATGAATCATCTGCCCTTACCCAAGATGGCCACTACCAGAAATGCCGGGGGGTGTTTTTCAAGTAATTTCTCAGCTAAGTAAAACATGGAGATGTGAATGGATGGGGGAGTTTGCTTTGAATATTAAAAATGAATTAAATAGCATTTGTGATTTGCGGTTTTCCATCATCTAATCATGTGCAGGCAAAAATGCTGTTTTTTTTAATTGTCCTTGCATGTGGTTGGATATTCTTTGCAAAGTGAAGCTTCAGCTCATTTACTAAGCTGCACTTGCAAAGTACACCGTCTATTTGCCTTTAGTAAATCCACCCCATCATTTTGAACAGCAAACACAAATCGAGCCATTGTGAAGCATTGACAGGATCCATTTCTGTCTTACCTGGAAGTTGATTGTCTGCCAACAGTTGCAGGGAGATGTTTATTTGATCAGAAGACACTGCAGGTGATATCAGCCACCTATGAACAGAGGGAGAAAAATCTAGTTAAGAATAAATGCCTTTGGTACTGAGAGAATGAGAAATAGCTGATCCAGTACACTGAGAACTCTTGACATGGAGGGAATAATAGATGAGCAGAACTTAGCGCTCTTTTTTGTTTTATTCAATAAAGTTGTGTTGAGAGCAATGCCAGTTGTAAAGAAACCAATCACGTATCAGTCTGTTGTTGGGAGTCAGGTCAGGGATAAAATCTGATTGGTCGATGTGCTCCTTGCCCATTTCTCAGACGCTTATTGAATACGCCCACAGTGTGTATAATTTTCAGTAGCCAGTTCTGCTAAGGGTTCTTGCACCGATCTGATGCATGAAAATCCGATATTCTTAGCAAAACATTCCTGCATAAAAGCGCAAGGATGGGCTGTACAGTACATATGTACTCACGAACACATATGTACACATGTTAAAATTCTTCTAGCTGTTTTTGGCAAGGGGGTGTGATCAGTGCCGGATTTATAAGGACCCATGCACACGGGACACTTCTGAATGATAGAAACCCACTGCTGGAAAACGTAGGTTAAAAAAAAACGCCTGTTTAGCCGCATTTGCATACCGCGTTTATGCGCATTTGCGTTTAGAAGCGTTTTTTTTTTAAAGATAACCTCAGGAGACCTTCCAAAATGCCCAGAATGCACTGAAAAAACAGTAAAAAATGTACTATTTCAGACATTTTGAAAGCAATAGAGAGACCAGAAGTAGAGAGAGCAGTATGTGTTGAGATTAGCTGTCTTTTTTTTTGTGGTGTTTGGATGTGTTCCGGCTCATTTCTGTGCAGAAATTATTCCAGCAGTGTAACATATTTCTTTCATGCGAAACCTCAAATTATGGTGTACCAGATCCATTTGAGTACCCAGAAAATGCTTTGCATGCATTTTTCATGATGAAAAAAGGCTCTGGGCAGCATCTGGAAATGGAAGAGTTAAAAATAATTTCAAACACAAATGCTTATAAATGCAGTTAGCTGTGTTTAGCCACGTTTACACGTGTTTACAAGCATTTGAAACGCTGATAAAATCTACTCCTGAACGCAAGTTTTGTGCGTTCAAAAAACGACTGTAAACTCAACTGCCTGTAAATGCTGTACACGATGATGTGTACATGGAGACATAGGGAAACATTAGGGAGAGTTCAGGGGCTGCTGAAAAAAACACTGAACAACTCCTGAACGTCAGTTTGTCAGCTGTAGTGTACATGAGCCCTATGAAAAAAAAGGTGTATAAAATAATAAATAGTAAAATATTATAAAATATATAATGATAAAAATGACTTTTAATGCATGTATCTGGGGAAGTAACAATTTCCCGGCCATCATCTGTAAACGTTTTTACTCTGTACTGGTATATTGTATCTCTTTTTTAAAAAAAATGAATTATGCTCTTAAGGAAGGTCGCCTCACGCAAGACCTCAGAATGACATTGTGTCATGAATTTTTAAAATGTGCGACTGTCATTGAGAATATAAACCAACTCTATGTATGAGGGGCCCCACAAAAATGAAGTGGCACAGGCCCCCAAGGTCTAAATCCTGCCCTAGGTGTGATGTACGTGTGTAAAATACTGGCCCAGCAATGCATATTTTTGTAATTTTATACACAGCACAAGTGTACATGCCTGTCTGTACAGGTCCATTAAAATCAATAAGTTGCATTTAGGGCTGGTTCACACCAGATGCAGTTCACTGCATTTTTACTTTGCATCAAAAACGCATAGACAGTGTTTAACCATTTGACGCCCGGCCAATAGCCGTACGGCGTCTGGAAAAATGAACTAGCTTTCCAGGAGGCTGCCATTTGGCATACTCCCGCACATGCGCAGTTCGCACGCTTGCAGAGCCGCGCAGTGGCGCGATCTGTCTCCAGCCATGTACCTCGGACATGGCCGATGACAGATCTGAGTATTGGCCCCGTTGCCGGTACCATGTGACCTGCTGTGACCAATCACAGCAGGTCACATGACAGTTGTATACAATGGATGGCTTCATTCATGCCATCCATTGTATACTAGTGCCTAGCTGTGAATGGTCACAGCTAATCACATGCACATATCATGTGATTAGCTGTGGTCAAATCACAGCTAAGCACAAAAAAAAACCAAAAACAAAAACCCTGAATGAATCGATGTCATTCAGGTAAATGCTTGCTCATAGCAAAGTAATTCTTTGCTATAAGCAAATTGTGTAAAAAAAAAAAATACTGATCACTTCCCCAAAGTAGTACAATGCTACTATGGTAACATTGTACTACTTTGGACATAGTGAAATATGGAAAATAAAATCTTAAAAAAAGAAAAAAAAGTAATAAAAAATTTAAAATAATAAAAAAAATAAAAAAAATATATATTTTTTTTTTCACACTGTCACCAGTCAGTGTCCCTGATCACCGCCATGCCAGTTATACAATGATGCTGTACTGCACTGGTGACAGTATATAAAAAAAAAAATAGTGAAAATAATTTTTTTTATTTTTTCATTTTCTGAAAAATTATGAAAAAAAAAAAATACAACTTCAAAAAACTCGCCATGCCTCTTATGAAGTACGTCGGACTGTCTACTCTGCAAAAAGGGGTCATTTGGGGGATATCTGTACTGTTCTGACATTCTTGGACCTCAAGAAATTAGATTGGCTGTCAGTACTTCAGGATTGATCAATATTCAGATCTATGCCATAGTTTGTGAACTCTATAACTTTCCTACAAACTAAAAAATACATCCTAATTTGGGTTATTTTCACCAAAGACATGTATTAGAATACATCTCGGCCTAAATTTATGAAGAACAATTATTAATTTGCAAACTTTTATAACAGAAACAAAGAAAACGTGTTTCTTTTTCAGAATTTTCGGTCGTTTTTTTGTTAATTTAGCAAAAAATAAAAACCCTGGCAATGATTAAATACCACCAAAAGAAAGCTCTAGTTGTGTGAAGAAAATTTTAAAATTTTAGTTTGGGTACAATGTTGTATGACCATGCAACTGTCATTCAAAGTGTGAGAGCGCTGAAACCTGAAAACTGGCCTGGGCAGGAAGGGGGTAAAATTGCACGGTATTGAATTGGTTAACAAGGGTTCCGATGGCCCTAATTCCCACCAGTGCAGTCAACAAAAGTAGAACATATTGCATTTTTCTGCATGGAATGCATGTGGAATGTATCACAACACATAAAAAATGCACCAGAATGCATGTGTCCTCAATTGAGATAAAGAAAAAAGGGGAAAATGCACTGGAATGCATCAAAAACGCATTAAAAATGAACCGGATCTAAAAGACATCAAAAATGCACATGCAGAAATGCATCCAGAATGCAGAAATTGTGGTGTGAATTGACCCTTATATCAGTAAAAAAAAATCAATCTGCTGGAGATCCCTCCCAGTCACCATTTTTCTCTTGGTGTCAGGAAAACTCATCAGAATGACCCATGCTGATAGCAGAGGAACAAGGCAGCAGACATAAATGGCCCTTAGTACTCTGGATTGAGACAAGAACACACTATAAAGGGATATGCATTGTTCACATTTCATATCTGAGGTTTACAACCACTTTAACCACTTCCCGTTCAGCCCATGTACATAAACGGTCGGATGGGAGCAGTGCAGGAGCGGGTTGCCATTCATAAACGGTGCCTGCATTTTCAGGCTGTGCGCGCTCCCAGGGAGGGCGTGCCCCCGCGATCCGATCGCTGTACAGGACCTCTGTGTGAGGTGATCACATGAATAGTAATAAGCACTTCTGACATCATTGCTTACTACTAGAGAAATCTGTGAATGATCACAGAGGTCACATGGTGCAAGGCTATTCAAAAGAGCCTTGTACCATGTGACAAGCTGTGACCAATCACAGCTCGCACAGTATTTCTCAATGGCTGCAAGAATACAATCAGAGAGAACGAGAAATGTATTTATTTCAGGTACTTATATAGCACCGTCAATTTACGCAGCACTTTACATATATATTGTACAATCACATCAGTCCCTAACCCTCAAGGGGCATACAATCTAAGGTCCCTAACTCACATTCATACATACACATACTATGGATGATTTAGACAGGATCCAATTAACCTATCTGCATGTCTTTGGACTGTGGGAGGAAACCCACACAGGCACAAGGAGAACATGCAAACTCCAGGCAGGTGGTGCTGTGGTTGGGATTTGAACTGACAACCCTAGTACTACCACGTGGAAGTGCTAACCACTAAGCCACTGTGCCGCCCTGATGATTGCTTTTACAGCCTTTATGGGTGTAAAAGCAATCAGTGTTAAAAAAAAAACATAAACAATAATATAAAAAATAAAATAAAAATGTAAAAAAATTTTTTTGAAAAATTATAATTTTTGGTTATAAACTAATTTGGGTTATTGTTTTTTACTAAAAAGATAACCGAATAAATTTTGGCCAAGATTCATGAAGAAAGATTATTTATTTGCAAAATTTTATAAGAAAAACACTTTGTTTCAAAATTTTTGGACATTTTCATTTATATAGCAAAAAAATAAAAATCCCAGTGGTGAATAAATACCACCAAAATAAAGTTTTATCTGTCTCAAAAAAATGCTAAAAAATTCATATGGGTACAGTGTTGCATGACCGCGCAATTGTCATTTAAAGTGTGATAGCGCTGAAAGCTGAAAATTGGCCTGGACAGGAAGGGAGGGAAAGTGTCCGGTCTGGAAGTGGTTAAAGGCTGAAACACACCTTTGCAATGTAGTGTGTTGCAGTAACACCCATGTTACAGCAATGAACATTACCTGCCTTAGCGTGTTGCAGTGCCATTCATTAGGAAAGTCATTAATTAGGAGTGCCCTGATATTGATTGATTGACTGATTGTTTGATTGATGAATGAATAATACCAGGACATTTTTATAGTGTGGAGGTATCATTCATTATGAATGGCACCCCTACACACCAAGATAACACAGGGCACTAGGTCGACTCAATGGTACCCCAGCATACTAAGGCAACACAGCTCTGATGTACATGCGCTGCAGCGCACCACAATGGATGGTGAAACACTATTGTGAATTGTGATGCCCTACATTGTAAAAAAAAAATGCTATATATCTGTTTTTGTTCTTTTGATGTGTGTTGGCAGCCCATTCAAAATGAATGGGTTGTCTTAGTGCAATGCACTGTAATTAATGACACTGTGTGCATTAACATGCATGCGTTAATGCAACATGCAAGAACAGACAGGTATGAATGGGCCTTTGCACTGGCTTTACTGCCAACGCCACATCCCAAACAGAATTAAACAGCCCCATAGATTATGCGATTTTTCTTTCCTTCAAAAAAAAAAAAAATCACTCAACTCCCCCATTAACCACTTCAATATCGGGCACTTTTTACCCCCTTCCTGCCCAGGCCAATTTTCAGCTTTGAGCGCTGTCGCACTTTGAATGAAAATTGCGCAGTCATGCAACACTGTACACATATGAAAGTTTTAGCATTTTTTTTATCACACAAATAGAGCTTTCTTTTGGTGGTATTTAATCACTACTGAGTTTTTCATTATTTGCTAAATAAGACAAAAAACACCTGAAACTTTTGAAAACAAAACGCATTTTCTTCGTTTCTGTTATAAAATTTCGCAAATAACATTTCTTCATAAATTCAGTCTTTTGCTGTGATTGGGCAAAGTTGATCACGATACAGATGGGCTGTGATTGGCCCTGTCTGTATTATGTGACTGCCTTGACCAGTCACAGCTAACAACATAATTGTATACAATGGATGGCATGACAGGAAGCGTGATCAGCTGTGATTGGTTTGATGACACTGGCAATGGCCCAGTGTAGTGGTATGTCAGGATTTTTTTTTAACACATTATGATTGCTAATACCAATGTATTTCATTGATATTTGCAATCATTGTTACTGAATGAAACTGATTCATTCAGTATTTTATTGTGATTAGCTGTGATTGGGCAAAGCTGATCACATGATACAGATGGGCTGTGATTGGCCCTGTCTGTATCATGTGACTGCTTTGACCAGTCACAGATAACATAATTTAGGTCAAACTGTATTCTGTTACATTTCTTTGGTGAAAATAATAATACTTGAATTTGTATTTTGTTTTCAAATACTTCTATTTTTTTTTTTTTATTACATTTTTTCTTTTTTTACTATTTTATTTTTCAGCACACTGTGACCAAAGCAATACAATGTTACCATAGTAACATTGAACTACTCTGGGCAAGTGGTCAGGATTTTTTTTTTTTAACACATTATGATTGCTAATACCAATGTATTTCATTGATATTTGCAATCATTATTACTGAATGAAACTGATTCATTCAGTCTTTTGTTGGGATTAGCTGTGATTGGGTAATGCTCATCACATGATACAGATGGGCTGTGATTGGTCCTGTCTGCATCATGTGACTGCCGTGACCAGTCACAGCAAACAACATGCTTGTATACAATACTAATCATAGATAACAACATAATTTAGGTCAAACTGTATTCTGTTACATTGAGCAGCACAGTGGCTAAATGGTTAGCACTTCCACCTGGCAGTACTCGGGTTGTTGGTTCAAATCCCAGCCACGGCACCTCCTGCCTGGAGTTTGTATGTTCTCCCTGTGCCTGCATGGGTTTCCTCTGGGTACTCCAGTTTCCTCCCACACTCCAAAGACATGCTGGTAGGTGAATTGGCTCCTGTCTAAATTGTCCCTAGTATGTGTATGTATGAATGTGAGTTAGGGAGCTTAGATTGTACGCCCCTTGAGGGTTAGGGACCGATGTGAATGTACAATATATATGTAAAGTGCTGTGTAAATTGACAGCACTATATAAGTACTTGAAAGAAATGATAATAAATATACAATGGATGGCATGAAGGGAAGCCATTGTACAATTGACATGGGCTGTGATTGGTCACAGCAGTCACATGATGCTGGTGTAGTGATATGTTATTGGCTGTGTCCTGTGGACACAGATGGCGCCGCGTGAGTGGCTCATTTTCACAGGATGTCATATGATGCCCATTCACAATGAGGTGTGTCTGCCCGGCCAGGTGGGAAGGTGTTAACAGTCAGTGATGATGGGGGAATCTTTCCCGCAGTGCTGGTCAGTGCTGATGGGCAAATCAAGTGATTTTCTTTCCTGCAACCATGGTTGCAGGAAAGAAAATCGCATCATCTACAGCTTGCCTAATATAACAAACCTTTAAAAATAAAGATTTTACAAAAACAGCTTTGTCAGAAAACAAAACCACGTGATTCTTTTATTATTATTATGATGATGATTATTATTATTCATTTTAGGTAAATTGCAACAAAGAAATTCACAATTTACTTGTCAGGGGGTCGGTGACACATCTGCTAAAATGAATATGAAGACATTGATAAGTCATCTAGACAAATCTAATATGTATACATTTGGTAGGAGTTTCCTAAAAGAGCCTTGTTTCTAGTAATGGAAAGATTAAATAAAGAATGAAGCGACAGTCAATTTCACAGCAAATATAAATGTATTAGCAGACGTCTTGCTTTGTAGTGACATTTGAAGCTTTCTGTAGAAATATGTAAATTATAATGACAGCTGTCTATGAGAAATGTACCCATTGTAGACATCCTGCTGCTTTAACCACTTGCCCTCCAGAGGATTTACCCCCCCCTTCTTGTCCGAGCCATTTTTTTCGATACGGAGCTGCGTTACTTTAACTGACAATTGCGCGGTCATGCAACGCTGCAGATAAATGAAATCGTAATGTATTTTCTGAACATACAGTCTGAAGTTCTA